TTAATCAAAGCTTCTAACTGGTTCAACAAACTGATGATTGTTTATCTAAAATTCAAATAGGTATTATCAATATTGAAGGTTTATGGTGTTTGTTTAACCGAACGGGTGATTTATTGCTATTATGATAAATAAACACTTGTATCAATATAAATATGTTTAATCTTCGTCCTCAATTTTCTGAAAACTTTATACGTCTTACTTTTACTTTCTATCACTATTTAGATTAGTTTGTAATCACTTTACCATTTGTTTTTCACAAAGGAAATTTTGGTGGATGTTTTTATGAATGTGTGTAGAAAACTCTTCCAATAAGATAAAATATGAAGCCATATAAAGTATCATATTTTCACTTTTCGGATAAATTGATATATTAAAAACATTTTTGATAATAGTTTTCACTAAATATGGCTAACCGTTTGATTGCAGAGTACCTCATTGGCGTTGAATGACTTACACTGCAAATCTTGTCTCAAAAGTGACAGGGAGCTCTCAAAAGTCTATTTTTAAACAGCGCCACGTGTCCAGATACCCGTCTCTAGTCAGGAAACTTTTTAATGAATGTCTATAGTTATATTTTGATTTTGTTTTGTCATTTTAGGAATTGATAGTTGTCTCTAAAATTTACTGAAAACTATTCTAATCGTTGGACGATTTAGAACTTGACATATTGAATATAATCTTATCCATCGTTGAAGACCGTTTGTTGACCTTTACTTTAGTTGTCCTTTCGATGATTGTATCGTTAGGTTGCTGTCTCATTTAAAAAATGTAGTTATACACCTTTTTTTCTTTCGTTATTTTTTTTTTCTGCAGTTTGCCTATAAATTTACTCAAAGAAAGTTTCCAAACAAGTAGTAAGGTCGTCAAGTTGGTTACTTATTCCATTCGTTACCTTTTCGTTACTTATTCCTTATTCGTTACCTTTTCATTACTTATTCCTTATTCGTTACTCATTCCTTTTTACTTATTCGTTTCTTATTTGGTTTTTTTTTCGCTTTTTATATTGCCCCCTCCTTTTTAATGCTTCTTTTCTTTTCTTTTCTTTTCTTAATTCTTGTGTATGATATTGGTTCGAGAAGGTGAAATTACCCTGCCGTTAGCGCGAATGTACCGGTTTCTGCACTTGACTGATTCCCTGTTATTATTTAATTGCTGCCTGTTCGTTCCTTTTTCGCCTTTAATATGTTCCTTCCTTTTAATGATTTCTTTTCTTTTCTTTTTTTTTTTTTTTTTGTCTCTGGTGATAGTTATTGGTTCGTAGAGGTAAAATTACCCTTTTAGCGCGTATGTACCCGTTTCCGCGATCGACTGATACCCTGTTACTTATTCGCTTTTTATACGGTCAATCTTTTTCTTTTATTTTCTTATCTCTAGTGCTAGCCATGTGTTTGGTGAGTTGAAATTACCCTCTTAGATCATATGTCTCCGTCTTCTCGATCAACTGATACCCTGTTACTTATTCGCTAAGGAATAAGTAACGAATAGGTAACGAATAATGAAAAAGGAATAAGTATCGAATAAGGAATAAATAAGGAATAAATTACCAACTTGACGACCCTAGAAATAGATTATAAACATATCAAATACATGACCATCTTGTATGGTGTAAATCCAAATCTGCATATATATCTACACTGCACTTGGGTGTTAATCCGGGTTTTTTTACATGACTTTGATAACTAGTAATGATCAAGTTTTTCTTCCAAACAAATAAGTTTATTATCATATATCAATTACATTACCATATCGTATGGTGTGAATCCATATCATCATATAACTATACTTTAATCAAATGTTTATTCGGGTTTCTTACATGTCATGTGATACAAGTAAATATCAAGTTTCGGTTTAGATTGATTTTCCGCCTTTATTTAAATGGTTTCAGTAATATAGTTTTTATTTGTACTCCTCAACTGTTGGTCTATTTGCGTGAATGTAGTTGAATGTTAAAAATCTAGCTATAATAAAAGGTTAAAAGGCGGACTTGATAACTAAAACTACGTTGGCAGCTGCACCGTGAAAAAATTAGGTCATATGTTGAGACAAAAATAATTACTGTTTTGTGACACATAGGATGCAACACAGGAAATGCTCATCCTTCCAAAAAATATATTTTATTGTTTGTAAGTGTTTCAGTATGTTCCGTTTTACAAGTTTTGTTCAGCTATAGCCTATTCGTTTTTTCCTACATTCGCAACACGATTAGTATAACAGATCAGTAAAAAAGGAATTCATTTGTTTTGTTACTAATCAAGTTTTGTTTAGAAATTGGGTTTTCTTTTGATAATGTTTTTTGTATTGTGCCCTTGCTGTATTCTGCCTTTTATAATAATTCTTTGTGTCATATAGCTATATGGGGGAAAAAATCTTAGTAAATAAACGCATCACCGAATTTGTACTTATACATGAGCAACACGATAAGTGCCACATGTAGAGCAGGATCTGCTTACCCTTCCAGAGCACTTTAAAAAATCAACCCCGTTTTTTTGATGGGGTTCATGTTATGTCTTTAGTTTTCTATGTTATGTTTTATAGACTGTTGTTTGTCTTTTCGCCGTTTTTTTGTTATATCCTTTGGTATCTTCCGTTCTTGGTTAATAAATCATTTTGATCTATATTTTTTTTTTACTCAGCTTAGTAGAATGAATTTAGCGAGCTCACAGAAATGTCCACTAATTCTTTTATTATAAACAGTGCGCAGATATATTCTGTCTGCAATATCATGTAACGTGATCGTACTGTTAGTGACGTCAATTTTCGATGACGTCAAAGTTATAACCTTCTAGCTACTTCAACGTACAGTACCTGATCGTTTGAGATAATCAATAATGGTGAGTTTTGCATATTAGAATATTTGAAATGTCTTGCAAAACAGGATATGCCCTTTGTAAAAATATTTTGTACACACACAAACAGCTTTTTTTGCGACGACTACGGTCCCTTGCGTGCTTCTTGTATACACAATTTTGAACGGTAACTTACGTCACAGTACCCAAATTGAACCGATTACCCAAATTGCACCTATTCAGCAAAAATAGCAGCGGAAATCTTACAAGTTTTCTGTGAGACTAAACAACTTGTATTTTTATGATTTGACATTATACACGTCTTTCAACATAGGTATATATATATTCAAATATACACAAAACGTTCACAGTATATACCAACAGATGAAGTATTAACTGGAAAAGGTAAAATCTACGGAAACGTCGCCTTGCGACGTCCACAAAAAGTCATCATTTAAAAAATGAGCAAAGAAATATATGTCACAAGCATCCCGGCATTTCTTAAAAAAATGAATAGTAAGCATGGACTAATGTCAAATTGTTCTAAAGATTTGAAGAAATAAAACAAAACATCTGTTATTCGGTTTTTAAGGATGTGAATTTAAACATGGATGCAATGTGCGTACTCCTCATTACATAATCATGTATCGTTTGGAGGTCTGTTCAAACCATTTTTCTATGATTCAATATGGATTCAAAATTAAATTGGTGTAACTATAAAGTAAATAAGGATACATCTACAAAATAAACACAGAATGGAAACTTTTATCTGGACCTGACGAAGGTTATCCAGGATAGTGCTTCGGACGCACGAAATTTAACAAGTTATTTTCATGGTTAGAAAGGCCGTCTTCAATCCAATACTAGCAACTAATGAACACTCGTATACGAAACTCGAGGTACGAAATAACATTGTAGTTGTAATTGTGTTTTATACTTGCGGATCTCAGTTTATGAATTTCTCATAACTTCAGATGCTATTGCGAGGTTTTTGTTAATGGGGAAAGTACGACTCCTTGAGTATCGCAATAACAAGAACTCGCAATCTGATTTCTGATACATACAGTATTTATTTGTAAGTACCAGTAGTTTTTTCTAAAATCGCAAAAAACTCTCATGTTTGTTCATTCTTCAAAAATCACAATAATAAATACACGCAATAATTTCTGAATTTACAATATTGTATCTTTAAATTTAATGTATTGCAGTAGATTTGCGTAATATTTAACGTGAGGGTACCCAAATTGCACCTATTTTGATCGTGTTTTCACCTACGTTTTTTATGATCCGGATAGAACGCTCAATATCAAAGTTTTTAAGCAAGGGGTGTATAAATATTTAAATATCATGTATATAAAAATAAGGAGGTGTAGTATGCTTGCCAATGAGACAACTATCCAAATGTGGTTGATGTAAGCAATTATACATTGTAGGCAACTGCACGGCCTTCAACAACGAGAAAAACCCATACCGTATAGTCGGCTATAAAAGACCCCGACATGAAAAATATGAAACAAGTCAATTGAGAAAACTAACGGCCTAACTTATAATAAAACAATTTGCGAAAAACAAATATGACAGACATGAACCAACGACAACCACTGAACTACAGGCTCCTGACTTGGGACAGGAACATAAAGAATGTGGCTGGTTTAAACATGCTTGTGAGCGCTCAATCCTCCCCTAACCTGGGACAGTGGTGTAACAGCATAACATATAAGAACAAACTTTAAAAATCAGTCGAAAAATGCTAAACTCATCAGATCGATACAAAGCAGAAAAACATCAAACAAAGACACAGACCGGACGTGGCAGGGTACTTATACATCCTTAACAACAAAAGACACAAAGTACAGATCTGAGAGTACTCGCAGTTACTGACAGCTAGTTCAAAGCCAATAACAACTAATGAATAAAGCATGTATCTAAGACTAAAATATCAATCAGTACACATCCAACACCCAATGAATTTAATGTAAAGACGTCATAAACAATCAGAGAAAAACATGACCTTGTGTTTTTACTTTATTTTATCTTTTATATTTCTTACAACACGAAAATAAAATACATTAAGTATTACATTTTTCAGAAGGCACGGTGTAGGCCTATTACAAGGTTTTACAGGTTATTAATTAGTTTGAAGCAATATAATTGTTTATCTATATTGATGATATTAATGTCTCTAATTTGTTTAATAAATATTTTATAGGTTGAAAAATTAACCGAAGAGCAAATTAAAGGTAAGTTATTTAAAAACAACTTGTTAGTAAACGGATCATGGTGAATTAGTAGGTGACAACAAATCCATAAAATACTTGAAAATTACTATTTTATAATTACATAGCAAAGTAAATACACATTAATTGCACTCCGAAGTACTTACTAATGTGTTTCCCTCGGTTTTGGTTTGTGACCCGGATTTTTTTTTCGCTTCATCGATTTATGACTATTGAACAGCGGTATACTTCTGTTGCCTTTATTTACTGACAATTATGTTCTAAATAAATCCCCTCTTTAACTTCACAAGCTCTTGTATACCAAAATCGCCTCTTGCATGGATTAAAATATAGCTTTCATTTTCAGACTCGTTTCGTTTTTTTCTCCAATTTGGTATTAGTTTCATTGTTTATTTTGTAGATTATTTAAAAATGATTCCACTTTTTCGAGTGTTATCCATTATTTTCAGTCGGTTAGGAACTCTCATAGTTTCCCTTACTTTCATATTTTCAGAATGTGGGGAAGCTTTCCGTTTGTTTGATAAAGATGGTGACGGTACTATTACAACACATGAGATAGGGATTGTTATGAGATCATTAGGAAAACACCCAACAGATGAAGAACTGAAGAAAATTGTAGATGAGATTGATATAGATGGTAAAACCTAAAGACGATCATGTCATTCACTACTTCCTATTTTTTTACATCATTTTAGCTTATTTTACTTCATCCTGCAATTAGCCTAACTATTGTACAAATAACAAGTACAAACATAAATATTTGCTTTATTTTCAGTTCATTTTGGGGTCGTCTTCGCGGTACGTGTTTAAACTATGTCGATTTCTTTGAAAAACCAGAGACAATAATTTGGATTTAAACAACGAAAGCTCAAGTGCCCGGTGTAAAACAATATATGTACATTGTCGGAAATATAAAATGTATTTGTACTCGCTACGAAACAGGTGAAAAGCTTGTCCTGTTTCTAAAGCTCGTACAAATAAATTTTATATTTTCCGACAATGTTCATGTAAAATTGAGAATAGAAACGAGGAATGCGTAAACCCGAACAAAGGGTAGAAATCACCCCAAGGCCACCAATGGGTCTTCAACACAGCGAGACAATTCCGCACCCGAAGGCGGGCATTAGCTGGCCCCTACACAATAATGTATATTAGTTCAGCGAAAATGGACGTCACACTAAACTCCGAAACATGTAAATGAACCAAAATTAAAAAAAAAGCATACAAGACTAACAAAGGCCACAGGTTCTTGACATGGCACAGGCGCAAAAATGCGGCGGGGTTTAACATGTTTTGTGAGATCTCAAGCCTGCCCTTTACCTCTAGCCAATGTGGAATAAACAAACACACAGCAATAAGCACATTGCATATGTATTTAGAGTATACTGATTTGCTTATTCCTAACATTATATTTCAATGGACACAGATCATAGATTTCTCAACTGGACCAAGGTTTAATGTAGATGGTATTTGCAGGAACTCGTACACGTCCTAAAATGAATGACAAGCTTAAGTGCTGCACAAAAAGACAAAAAGGTTAAGTAGAAAAGAGGTCCATGTCCATACCCTTTTGTAAAACCTTGTAATAGGCCTACTCCGTGTTTTTAATATTTTCTGAAAAATGCAGAACTGTAAAATGTACTACTAAATGTATTCTTATGACTTTAGTGTTGTAAGAAATACAAAAGTAAAAATAAAATGAAAAACCACCAAGACGTAGTAAAACAAAGTCAATTATAGTAAACAAATAAGCGATAGAAAATTGTGTCAATTAGCATCGTTAAAATAAATAGAATATGTTATGGGTGTGATCCTTGACAAAACACTGTTGTTAAAAGCAGATAGATTTATAGCATTTACATATTTGATATAAACATATTCTGAGTGTTTTTTTCTTCTTTTGTACCAAAATGAAAGGGTGATATATAATTTACCATGTGAACATACCAGTTACTTGAAAGAATAATATAAATTATATATTTACGCACGATTTCAATCTCGTTAAAATCAGACCGTTATATTTGTTTGTCGCCCGTATACGGACACGGAGCAAAGATATGTTTTGTTTTTTGCATGGTGAAATCGATAAAAATAACTTTAACATGGCTGAGAATTAATTTCCTCCCCCCCCCCCCTTTTTCAAACAAAAAAATATGTCAGTATACAACATATTTTTATTCTAATCTAAATTATGTCAAATTAATTTACTTGTTTTTTGTGTGTGTGTATGACTAATATGTTTTCGATAAGTCTGTTCAATATACCTGGATATCGGTGTAACTATCTCTTCTTTTTGTGTTGGTAGGTTTTATTCTCAATTTTATTTTCTTATTGACATATACGCGGCATTATGTTCTTTATTCGTAGTTGGTTTAATTTCATCCCGCAATCAGCCAACTATTGTACAAATAACGGATACACAAATACATGTTTGCCTTAGTTCCACTTTTTTTTTTAAATTTTCTTGTTACTCCGCTCCATTGTTGAGCAAACGATAATGTGAATATTTCTTTGAGTAACAGTTCATTTTGGGTCTTCTTCGCGATACGTTTAAAATTTGTCGATTTCTTTGAAAAATCAGATACAACTATTTGGTTTAAACAACTGAACCGTGATTAAAGTGCCGCGTGTAAATTACAGTATAAAACAACATATCATGTACATTGTCGGAATATATAAAAATTAATTGTACTCGCTACGAAACAGGAAAAAGCTCGGCGAGCTTCGCTTTTCGTCCCGTTTCTAAAGCTCGTACAAATTGATTTTATATTTTCCGACAATGTACATGTTTTCTGCTCTTTGGTCGGGTTGTTGTCTCTTTTACACATTCCCCATTTCCATTCTCAATTTTATAAATATGTTAGACTCAGAGAGACGTCCGGTCTCTAATCGACGCAGTTTCCTCAAATCGACGTCCTATGAAAAGTCACGTTCTAAAATCAGTGTCCAATGTGACGTCATGTATTTCCAAAACGACGATGTCATATATATCATTTAATTATTTGTTTTGAGTTTGATTTTTTTTTTTTTATATATTCTAATCGCTTTGTCTTTGTGTAAAGCTGCTTAAAGAAACTAATTGTTTTCATATATCTTTATATATTTTACAAATCATATAGACTTAGTTGACGTATATAAGAAGGGTAAACAAAGAAGGTAACATCCTGTCTAAAATAATCAACTTAATAAACATCCTAGAACAAGCATTTGTAAATGACAATAAGACAAACACCGACATCATATTACATGTACATGCATATCAATATATTGGTGAAAAAAGTTAATCCACTCGATCAACGTTGTTTTTTTTCCATATTCATATAAATAAATGACATGTGGATATAAGACAATGAAGTATGTCCAGTGCACGATGTTTTGTCGATATTGTCAACATTGCAATGTCTTCTTTATCGTGTCCTTATTGTGTTTACATTGTACCCATCTATACCCTGTCTATACCTTTGTGTTTATGTCGTTAACATCGTATATATCGTGATGTTGACAATATTGTGTCAATATCGTGTTTATGTTGTATATATATAAAGTCCCTACATTTCTGTTTACATCGTTCACATCGTATACATCGCAATGTTAACAACATCGTGTTTATATTGTATACAAAGTTTATACCTTTGTGTTAACATCGTTCACATTGAATACATCGTGATGTTGACCAAATCGTGTCACCATCGTGTTTATGTTGTATAAAAAGTCTATACCTTTCTGTTTACATCGTTCACATCGTATACATCGCAATGTTCACAACATCGTATCAATATAATGTTTATATTGTATACAAAGTCTATCACATCGTATACATCGCAATGTTCACAATATCGTGTCAACATCGTGTTTATATTGTATACCATGTCTATATATTTGTGTTTACATCGTTCACATCGTAGAATTGTAGACTGTGCAATGTTGACAATTTTGTGTTTACATCGTTCACATCGTCAACATCGTGTTTATGTTGTATACCAAGTCTATACTTTTGTGTTTACATCGTTTACATCGTATACATCGTGATGTTGATAGTATTGTGTTTACATCGTTAACATCGTCAAAATTGTGTTTATATTGTATACAATGTCTACACCTTTGTGTTAACATCGGTCACATCGTTTACATCGTAATGTTGACAATATTGTGTTTACATCGTTCACATCGTTTGCATCGTGATGTTGACAATATTGTGTTTACATCGTTCACATTGTCAACATTGTGTTTATATTGTATATCAAGTATATACTTTTGTGTTTTCCAGTACCAGGTATTTGTTCAAATATTCACCATGGAGTATATATATTCAGTACATGTTTATTGTTTATTGTTTCTTAATATTTTGTGTAATTCTTTTAAATGCAAGTTTTCCATCTTCTCAAATTATTTTTTTTCTTTATTAAGAATATTTTTCAATGAAGGTTTAGATTTCATGTATACCGTTTGTATGTTTTATGTACTTTTTATTACAACTAAAAAATACTGAAAAACTCAACTTGATATTTTCCGCATACGTGAAGGATTTTATAATTTGCTGTGAAAATAATTCTATCATATATGCAACAATTTGTAATAACACTTTAAGACATTAAATTAAGTATTGGATGTGTAAATAGCATGGTTTTAAATTAAAAACATATTATTGACGGATACACGTCATTATGTTTCCTCTGTGAGCCTCTTGCATTCTTTAAATGTTCTGTATAGCTTAAGACTACGTCACATAGTAACGTTTGCTATGATGACGTTGTTGAGGTTGCAATTGGGATAAAAAGTGTAGTATATAACCCCGGCAGTTTCCTGAATATATAAAAACTGACATCTCTGTGTTGTTATCCAATCACAAAACTCGACACATTTATAATCCATAAAATATATTTTAAAAAATTGTAATATATCGATGTAAACAATGTAAACATTATATAACATTTCAAACAATATAAATAATGTTGACACCATATCGTGCACACTACAATGCAAACGATGTAAACACGATATTGATAATACATTGTATACATCGCAATGTTAACGATGTTAACAGTATATAAGAGTTGTTACAGTGTAAACGATGTTGACACGATATCTTGTTAACATTTTTAATATCGCAATGTAAACGATGTAAACACTACATCGTTACTACATCGTATACATCGCGATGTATACGATGTTAACGATGTAAACAGTATATAACAATTGTTACAATGTGAACGATGTTGACACAATATCGTGTTAACATTGTTGATATCGCGATGTACATGATGTAAACACGATATATTTACAACATTGTATACATCGCGATGTTAACAATGTCAACGATGTAAACAGTACATATAAGAGTTCATACAATGAAAAGATGTTGACACGATATCGTGTTAACATTGTAAATATCGCGATGTCGACAATATTGTTTTAACATTGTGCACTGGACATGGATGGAGAGGAACCAAAATATAAAGATAACCGAAGGACATCTAGAGGCAATATACAGTCTCAAACATTAGACAGAATAAATAAGTATAGTCAATTCGCCTCTTTAAAATCTACAGGACTATGGGTAATCTCATTGTTCGTACACCAAAATGAAAATAACGTTACATCATTGGTTGAATTTCCATTGTTTAGTACGTTTTGAACCAATCACAATGTTTTGGTGTACGATTTTGAAAATATTTCTGTATTAGATTCTGAAACGGCGAATTGTTGAAAAGTATTATCATTTCGACTCTGCTAGATCTTTTTTAACAACTTTTTGAGTTTTTGGGTTCAACCAACCATTTGTATTCGGGAAATGCCTTTATCAAATCAGGAATATAACAGTTGTTTTCTTTAAATAAAGTTGTGACATCATTGAAGAAGTCCGTTAAAAGAAGCCAAATATTGGACGTCGATTAGAGGGTCATATAATTGGCCGTTGACTTGGAATCTTATTTCATTATGACGTCAGATCTAGATTTTGGACGTCGATTTGATGAACGGACGTCGATTAGATCCTATACAGACGTTGATCTGAGTCTTACATATATATGTATTTCTTCTGTTTTATTTATGTGTCAAGCTATTCACAGAATTTTAAAAATGCAAATGGCGAACAGTTAATTAAAATATGTCTCGTTATCGTTATAATATATTAAAAAAATATAATTTCCAACATATTTTTAAGGGGATGGGAGAGTGACTTTTGATGAATTTTTGACAATCATGACGAAACAGTTTTGCTCTAAAGAAACCGCTAGGGATATTCGAGAGGCCTTTAGAGTTTTTGATAAAGACGGAAAAGGTTATCTCACAGTATCAGAGTTCCGACACATCATGGAAAATCTCGGAGAGAAAATGACATGGGAAGAGACGGAGGAGATGATAGAAATGGTCGACACGGATGGTGATGACAAAATATCTTGTGACGGTACATATATTTACTTGTGTAATATTAAAAAAGTTGAAGTCTGAACCACAGGCACTTTATAAAGCATGGATCTCTCATTTTGGTGTATAAGATTTCAATTTAAATTTTCCTTTATATTTCAACTTATTTTCCCTCATTTAATGTTCTTCCTTTTATCCATAAAGCTTACAATAACATTAATGTATGTTATAAGAACTTTCTATTCTTATAACGTTACAAAATGTATATATACAAGGTAAATTAGAATGGACAAGAGCAAGAAGAACACGTAAAGTGAGTTTTGTCAAACGCATCGAGGTAGGTCACTAACAGCATTTTTTGTATACAAAGTCTATACCTTTATGTGTACATCGTTCACATCGTATACATCGCAATGTTCACAATATCGTGTCAACATCGTGTTTATATTGTATACCATGTCTATATATTTGTGTTTACATCGTTCACATCGTAGAATTGTAGACTGTGAGATGTTGACAATTTTGTGTTTATAATTAGTTGAAGTATTCATCTCTTTTTCAGATTTCATAAAAAAAGTTACCACGACAGAGTAAAGATGCTGAAAAATTTCTTAATCATTATGATTGGTTGTGCAGTATTATTAGCATATTTTTGACGTAACAATATGTGGTCTTAATTTAAAAAAAATGTAAGAAGTTTGATTTTAATTTGCGAAATAAGTGAATGGAATGATCTAAATTGGTGATCTTAGATTGTATCTTATACTCACGTGAAAAAATACTTAAGGTTCGTTTTGGGATTTAATCGAGCGACATCGAGGCAAAGGCATGATTTTTTTTCTCGGGAGTATATTTGTACATTTAAGAGATCCAGATAGTTCAATAAAATGTAAAAAATATATATACTCTGTAATTACAAAATGAAATAAACGCAAATATTGAAGGACAAATACAACGATTCTTTACCAATTTTGAATTCCTTTTTGCTTGAAAATAAGTAGGCACTGAAAACAGATCGAGGGAGTTGGATAGACATTTTTGGTTACATGTATCAGTTAGGTCATTGAATAAAAACATTGTCGATACTATTTATGTACTTGAATTTTGGCAAGGCACAAGGTCATGCTTAGAATTCTCAGACAGTTAATGACTTCTTTACTCTAGATCCGTTGGTTGTGTACTGATTGATACATTAGTCAGGGATAACATGATTTAGTTGTTTCATGTCAATGCCTTTGAACTAGCTTTTAGTGATCGTTACTTTGAGTCTTTTGTCTTTAATATGTTGATTTATTTGTATGGTGATTCGTGCCAATCTGATTAGTCAAACCATATTCAAATACGTTTTATATTTTGTTCTTATGTTGTGCTGTTTAATCAAAGATTAGGGGAGAGTTGAGCGCTCACACACATGTTAAACGCCGCCATATCATTTATGTGCCCGTCCCAATTGCAAACCAGAAGCCTGTAATTTAATAGTTGTCGTTGGTTGCTGTCTATCATATTTGTTTTCATTTATTTTGTCATACATTAGGCCATTAGTTTTCTCTGTAAAATTTTCATATTGTGTCATGTTGGGTGTTTTAAAGCTGTCTACATGATATGGGTTTTGATAATTAATTGACATATAGTAGCTTACATCGTCGTCATTTTGACATTAGTTGATAGTTGTCAAATTTATAATCAAATCACATCTTTTTATATTTATATTGTGTTTAATTGTATATACATAATGACTATACTAGCAAAGAAGTTGCTGCATCTGTGACTATTCATTTCAATGTAGTTGAAACAATATTGGATATAGCAAGATACAACAATACAAAAATACCAAGGTTACCAAACAAACAACAATGAAAATTAGACTTTGTCATTACTAACTCACAAAATATGTCGGGAAGTGCAGGAATTGATAATATATCTGACAATCATGTGGCACATACTCTTCAGGTAAAAAAGGAAGGAAACCTTTCGGGCTTTATCGACTTTCGTGATAATTTTTTAAAGCATTAAACCTTCAGAGTTTACGGTGAGCTGAGTTGAACATTGGGGTATAGTATCTCGATACCAGAGTACCAGAGAGAAATTCAGGGGCATATGTTGTATGGCAAAACGTATTTAATTGATACGAATGTGATCTTTTCTCTGTGCTTTGTACCTGTCAACGTATATTTGTTCCTCCTAACAAAAGTTCCTGTGGAAACATTGTTATATATTCTTGTTTTCTTTCATTAAATATTGGGTTAAATATATCGAGATGTACATTGCATAAGAAACCAATGGGAAATTGTCATCAAGCCGAATAGAAAATAAGGAAGTCGAAAGTCATCTTGTTTGTCATGAATTTTAGTATGAACATTAATTGCCATCAGAAATTCTAATATCAAAATGAAACAGAACACGTTTGCATTTTAAAGTTAAATCAATAAAAGTTTGTTTAAATCGACACACGTCATTTGGACATGCATAATTGAATTGTTTCATATTTTGCATGTCGGGGCCTTTTATATCCAACTATACGGTATTGTTTTTTTTTCTCATTGTTGAAGGCCGTACGGTTGTCTATAATTGCTTACATCCACTTCATTTGGACTTTGGTGGATAGTTGTCTCATAGGTAATCATACCACATCACCTTATTTTTATATATTTTGAAAATCTAGATTTTTTTTAGATAATAAATATCGAAATATCTGTAAGTTTGGTTGAAGATATATATAAACGATACTTATTTCCATGTGTGACACGTTTCCTGAAATTGAATAATTATTATCACTCTTACACACGTCTAAAAGGCTTGAAACTTTAAACTGGTAGTCTCAATGAACGTCAAAAACATAATATAAATGAAAATAAGACTGTGTAAAGTTGGTACGTCAAAAGTTCTTTTCTGGATTTATCTTCATCAAGAACACTGAAACCCAAAATTTGGAAAGCCAAGGTTATATAACTACTTAAATACATAAGGATATATACGATCAAAAAAGTACCTAAAAATTCGTAAGGGGTTCCGTGGAACCCTGTGTCTCGCCAGCTATTGCTGCTGTCAGTGTAAAAGTAAAAGTGTAATGTTGACTAAAAAAGTGAGTCCATTTATCAGTAAAATACAGAATTAAAGAAAAACAATTTTTTTCTTAAGATGCTATTTCATGGTCTTGAAGATTAGCTTTTGTTCAAGTCTCATAACAGCTGTATTATATGTTTCTGCTGTTCTTGAATCAGCATTAATAAAAAAGACAGCTACTATCAGTCCCAGAGAGTATCAGTAGTCAGTACTTCGGTACTGACATGCCTATTTATTACAAACTTTTATAAAATTGTCTGTTTATAAAATTTGATGTTATACAAACTAAGGTTTCAACTCCCTCAGGCAAAGTTGACCTTAGATGGATTGGGCTATTTTTAGGTACTTTTTGGTCATTAAGCTCTCCAACTGTTTCAGTTCTTATACATCCTTGGCTTTCAAATATTCGAGCGTTCCTGATGAAGGCTAATCAAGAAAAGCGCTTCGTACGCATGAAATTCATAACGTGTTGTTTTATTTTTTTCTAAGCATATCCGCATATGTAATTTAAAGTATCGGAAAGTAGGAAGTAGGTGTCTGACTGACCCGAAAAGCTTACTTAAGTTATATACTGTACATTATAACTCATTACTGTTGAGCTGCTTACACAACATGAATTCATTCTGTTCAGTAGTTTATGAGAAAAGTATGGGCAAACTATTACATTGTATAAGTTCATTTAAAAAAATGGCAAAAAGGAAGTACTTAGTAGATATGTATCAGAAAAATCCAAAAGCACACTCATTACAACTTGTTTACAAAAAGTTAAATTTTTCGGAACACTATGGATTTTCTACCTCAATAATATATTACCTTAGTTGTTTTTGGCGAATCATTCTGGAATTTTGGGTCTTCAGTGCTCTTCACCTTGTACTTTATTCGACCCTTTTATATTTTTTTATTCAAGCGTCACCGATGAGTCTGTTGTAGACGAAATGTGCGTCTGGCGTTCAAAATTTAAAGCCTGGTATCTATGATGAGGGTATCATGAATAGATATAGACTTTACTGCATATGGCGTTTTTTGATATGTGGAATGTTTCGACTTTGATTTATCCTGGTACACTGTACTTCACCCTTTCCAGCATACTATTTTGAAATTTAATTTTTTAAACACTTGGGGGAAAATGAATACTAAGTGGATGTTCACTAAAACCTCATAAAATATGAGAAAATGGCAAATGCGTCAAAGTAACTTTTTTTTTACTGTTCTTCAACTTCTTTCTGGTGATTGCTCAATGGGCTTAAATGAAGGATTCAACGACCTAAAGCAAGCTTAAGTTGAACAGTTTCTGGTATATATGGCATTCCAGGATATATAAAATTTCAGATATTTTTTTTTTTCTTCAAATATTTATTATAAACTTTAACATGTTTAACAAATAAAAATATCACCAATAACCAAGAAAATGAAAGACTCCGTATCATAAACCTGCCATCATAATATGAACAACTTTTAAATCTTCAACCACTACTATATTGTGATGTAAATTTGTTTTTCATTTTAACATTGATTTTCTTAATCAAAGCATTCATAACAAAATATTTTCATGAAACAATTCTATATATAAACTCAATTTGAAATCTATGTAAAAACTATTTAAAACATATCTTTTATTGCAAGATCAGCTTTAAAAAACAGTTTTAAATGCTTCATCGTCATATGCAACCAAAGTCTTTGTATCATCATGAACTGATAATAATTGGTTAGTTAGACTATTACATAAACAATTACTTCTGCCTTGGTTTCATCCATTTCAAACTGCTCTAATTCTTTACTCATACTAGACTCTTCATCAGAATCCCACATTTCCCACGAGTCTTTTGTCTGTTGAGACTCTAAGTACTGTTCGTGATCTCTTCTGTTAATTCCGTTTCATTAAATGCATTTTTCAAAACTATTTTCTCCTTTCTCATTTAAATCGCAGGAGTATCCACACTAATACAAGTTCCTGTCATCATCACCGTCTGTAGAAGAATCAACCTTCAACACTCCATTTCCACCTTTATCTTTTATGGCTGCTTCAATATATTTACCTAGACAATTGTCCTGCAGTCTTGCTTTTGTCAGTTTTGTTTGCCCTTGATCTGTTTCAATAAATTTATTTTTCACTTTTGCTTTTCTTTTTTTCTTTTTGGAGCAACTCTTTTTTACTTCACATTGTGTGTGCTGAGTGAATGAAGGATTAGATTGAACAGCAGCGCTATCAACAAAATGCATTGGCAAAAGGGAAAATGTAGGTTGCCTTGATCTTATATCAGATCCTGAGCATAATGGATTCTGCCCTTCATGACTTCTTTGCATATGCTTCCCTATGAACGTATTTTCTCTATCTTCCTTGCCTCTGGTTTTTTCTTCCCTGTCCAAGTCTATTTCCTTCTCTACTGTACTATATCCATCATTCTCTACTGTACTATACCCATCCTTCTCTTCAGTTCTATATCGTCTTTCTCTTCAGTTCTATATCCGCCCTTCTCTACGGTACTGTATCCATCATTCTCTACTGTACTATATCCATCATTCTCTAGTGTACTATACCCATCCTTCTCTTCAGTTCTATATCGTCCTTCTCTTCAGTTCTATATCCATCCTTTTTACGGTACTATATCCATCATTCTCTACTGTACTATACCCATTCTTCTCTTCAGTTCTATATCGTCCTTCTCTTCAGTTCTATATCCATCCTTTTCTACGGTACTGTATCCATCATTCTCTACTGTACTATACCCATCCTTCTTTCAGTTCTATATCGTCCTTCTCTTCATTTCTATATCCATCCTTCTCTACTGTACTGTATCCATCATTCTCTACTGTACTATACCCATCCTTCTCTTCCGTTCTATATCGTCCTTCTCTTCAGTTCTATATCCATCATTCTCTACTGTACTATATCCATCATTCTCTACTGTACTATACCCATCCTTCTCTTCAGTTCTATATCGTCCTTCTCTTCAGTTCTATATCCATCCTTTTTACGGTACTATATCCATCATTCTCTACTGTACTATACCCATCCTTCTCTTCAGTTTTATATCGTCCTTCTCTTCAGTTCTATATCCATCCTTTTCTACGGTACTGTATCCATCATTCTCTACTGTACTATACCCATCCTTCTTTCAGTTCTATATCGTCCTTCTCTTCATTTCTATATCCATTCTTCTCTACGGTACTGTGTCCATCATTCTCTACTGTACTATACCCATCCTTCTCTTCAGTTCTATATCGTCCTTCTCTTCAGTTCTATATCCGCCTTTCTCTACGGTACTGTATCCATCATTCTCTACTGTACTATATCCATCATTCTCTACTGTACTATACCCATCCTTCTCTTCAGTTCTATATCTTCCTTCTTTTCAGTTTTATATCAATCCTTCTCTACGGTACTGTATCCATCATTCTCTACTGTACTATACCCATCCTTCTCTTCAGTTCTATATCGTCCTTCTCTTCCGTTCTATATCCGCCCTTCTCTACGATACTATATCCATCATTTTCTACTGTACTATACCCATCCTTCTCTTCAGTTCTATATCCGCCCTTCTCTACGGTACTGTATCCATCATTCTCTTCAGTAATATACCCATCCTGCTCTACTGTACTATATCCATCATTCTCTTTAGCACTATATCCATCGTTTTCTGCTGTACTATATCCATCCTTCTCTTCTGTATTATTTCCATCCTTCTCTTCGATTCTATATCTATCCTAATCCAACAAAGAAAACTCAAAATTTTCCAAGTTTAGTAACAGCTTACTTGAACCTTTGATCTATTAATTCCAAAATCATTAAGCTTCTACCCCTTCCTAATATCGTCCTTCTCTTCAGTTCTATATCCATCCGTCTCTACGGTACTGTATCCATCATTCTATACTGTACTATACCCATCCTTCTCTTCAGTTCTATATCGTCCTTCTCTTCAGTTCTATATCCGCCCTTCTCTAAGGTACTGTATCCATCCTTCTCTACGGTACTGTATCCATTATTCTTTACTGTACTATACCCATCCTTTTCTTCAGTTCTATATCGTCCTTCTCTTCAGTTCTATATCCGCCCTTCTCTACGGTACTGTATCCATCATTCTCTACTGTACTATACCCATCCTTCTCTTCAGTTCTATATCGTCCTTCTCTTCAGTTCTATATCCGCCCTTCTCTACGGTACTGTATCCATCATTCTCTTCAGTAATATACCCATCCTGCTCTACTGTACTATATCCATCATTATCTACTGTACTATATCCATCATTCTCTACTGTACTATACCATCCTTCTCTTCAGTTCTATATTGTCCTTCTCTTCAGTTCTATATCCGCCCTTCTCTAAGGTACTGTATCCATCCTTCTCTACGGTACTGTATCCATTATTCTTTACTGTACTATACCCATCCTTTTCTTCAGTTCTATATCGTCCTTCTCTTCAGTTCTATATCGTCCTTCTCTTCAGTTCTATGTCGTCCTTCTCTTCAGTTCTATATCGTCCTTCTCTTCAGTTCTATATCTGCCCTTCTCTACGGTACTGTATCCATCATTTTTTACTGTACTACTGTGGATTCATTTATTTTCGTGAGTACCAATTTTCGTGGATTGCGGAAAACATGCCTTTTCGTGGATATGTGATTTCGTGGTTTTACCAAATTCTGCATACAACCTAATAGACAATTTGTAATTCGTTGAACATTGGAATTCGTGGTTCGCCTGTACCCAAGAAAACCACGAAAATTGGTATCCAACGAATAATAATGAATCCACAGTATACCCATCCTTCTCTTCAGTTCTATATCGTCCTTTTCTTCAGTTATATATCCATCCTTCTCTACGGTACTGTATCCATCATTCTCTTCAGTAATATACTCATCCTGCTCTACTGTACTATATCCATCCTTCTCTACTGTACTATATCCATCATTCTCTTCTGTACTATACCCATCCTTCTCTTCAGTTCTATATCGTCCTTCTCTCCAGTTCTATATCCATCCTTCTCTACGGTACAGTATCCATCATTCTCTTCAGTAATATGCCCATCCTGCTCTACTGTACTATATCCATCCTTCTCTACTGTACTATATCCATCATTCTCTTCTGTACTATACCCATCCTTCTCTTCAGTTCTATACCCATCATTCTCTTCAGTTCTATATCGTCCTTCTCTTCAGTTCTATATCTGCCCTTCTCTACGGTACTGTATCAATCATTTTCTACTGTACTATACCCATCCTTCTCTTCAGTTCTATATCGTCCTTTTCTTCAGTTATATATCCATCCTTCTCTACGGTACTGTATCCATCATTCTCTTCAGTAATTTACCCATCCTGCTCTACTGTATTATATCCATCCTTCTCTACTGTTCTATATCCATCATTCTCTTCTGTACTTTACCCATCCTTCTCTTCAGTTTTATATCGTCCTTCTCTTCAGTTCTATATCCATCCTTCTCTACGGTACTGTATCCATCATTCTCTTGAGTAATATACCCATCCTGCTCTACTGTACTATATCCATCATTCTCTTCAGCACTATATCCATCGTTTTCTGCTGTACTGTATCCATCCTTCTCTTCTGTATTATTTCCATCCTTCTCTTCGATTCTATATCTATCCTAATCCAACAAAGAAAACTCAAAATTTTCCAAGTTTAGTAACAGCTTCTTTGAACCTTTGATCTATTAATTCCAAAATTATTAAGCTTCTACCCCTTCCTAATATCTTCCGCTGATGAAGTGTATAATGAAACTAACATTATGTAATTCAAATATTTAATTATTCTTCTTACCTCAGTCTCATCCAGTTTGTATTTCAACAAACGTTTAGCATTTTCTATAGCTTCTGACGGACCAATTATTGTCAAAATTACATCCTAAAATTACAATTATAATATTTTGAAAAAAATTAATTATCAGGATTTTTAAGATTTTTAGTATTAGTAATACACAATTTCATTAAAACCGTTGTAGTTTCTGACTTTAATTACAATAATATTTCTTGTAAATTATCTTGATTAAGAATTCAGGATTAATTATGAGTAATGGAAAATGTTGTTATAACATATCTAGGCAGTTGGTGCTCTTCGATCGTTTGAATTGTTTCGCATTTTACTACATTGCATGGATTTTGCTCATTGTTGAAGATCGATCGTCTATCAAACATGTTTGCTTGAATCACCATCTTTTGGTCTCTGGTGGATATTTGTGTCATTGTATGATGCAACTTCTTTATTTCTATATTTTAGCCATCCTTCAATTATGAAATAATATGAGTGTTTGATGGAGTATGAATATGATGAAGTTTGCACAGATGTCAGTATTCAATCTCGGCTTAACCTCAGGAAATTATTTTTTAATTATTTTATGTTTTACATGAGCTTCAGTATGTAGATATAGGAAGATTGATCGATACATACGGTTTACAACGCATATTACTATAAAATAAGATTAATTCGGTTTATTCGTATCAGATCAACAGACTTTTAGTTCACTGATTTCCTGTTTGAATTGTGTTACACTGGTCATTTTGGGGCCCTTTATAGCTTGCTGTTCGGTGTTAGATAATGCTCCGTGTTGAAGGCCGTACTTTGATCTATAATTGTTAACTTTTTTATGCATTGTGACTTGGATGGAGAGTTGTCTAATTGGAACTCATACCACATCTTCTTATTTATAATTAGGACAGTTCAAGTATAAAAACGACTGACTGTTTTGGCTAGGATTCGGTTGATCACAGAAGCTTCTGTAAAACCATATGTACAAAATCTCTACATTGAGATAGTTGCAGTTGTTGTCGGCAAGGTTGTAAGAGCTCCAGAGAAACAGGGTCATAGTTGTGACGGAGCCTGAAGACTTGAAAGACCTATTCATCCCTATCCCTATACATAAGTGTATGCGACAACAAATGTATAGCGAACTTTATCTTGGACTGTGATCGTATCCGAAGAGAAATTCTCTAACTATTTTTCTTTAACTGTTGAATTTTCTTATAACTTAGACATTCGTCCAAAACTATTTGTTATCTATTTTTTCAATAATTTTAGTTTTAATTTGTCAGTGCATCGTAAGCCTATCTGCCTGGCTGTAATATTAATGTAGTATTGTACTAATATGTGTCTAATGTATATATGCAGGTTGCACTATAATAAACCATGCATTCATTCATTCATAAGTGCCCTCCCCCTTGAGATCAAGTCCTTTCAGTTTCAAATTTAAAAGTGCAAAAATTAAGTCTAATATAAGAATAAGAATATTTTATATAATATTTGATGTAATATATAAACAAACGGGAAGGAAAAGGGTGAATTAAAACAGTTTCGTTTGAAAGTCCGAAGAGCCTTTTCCCCAAAACTAAGTTGCTTTACGAATTCATTGTAGCAGGGTATTCTTATGATTAAAATTTTATCTACCAAAGTCAGTTATTTAATTACTTGTATGTTAATCTTGATAGTGACCTTGGAATTTTATAATAAAGAAACCAAATGCTGTGCACATTGGCAACGTTTCAGTCTAAATTTATCATTTGTCAGTAAAATAATGTAAATTGTGTGTGATAATTAGTACAAGCAAAGATTTCCATCCGGTCATCTCTTTGTAAACAATAAAACGGACATGATCAGCTAAAACGATGTGTAATTGAATTTTTTTAAAAGTAAAGGGCGTTGGTTACTTCTAAATCTGTGATATTTTATATCACTCTTCGAAAATTCCGACAAAATGAATTTCCATTAACCCTAATTATCTCAGGCACTTATGGACTATTTATGTTGTGGGGGATTATTATGAAGAAAAAAAAGTTTTATTCTGAAATTCATGAGAAAAAAATTGTTTCAGAAGGAAGGTGAAAAAGATACTTCGTTTCTGACAAAAGGAGTCGAAAATATTTGACAATTTGTTCCTGTATGCTATAATTGATAAAAAATGTTTGTTCTGAGAAAAAAGCTCCCCCTCCTCCGACACATGCAGGCAGAAAATACATTCATGCTTCGAAAAAAAAATCTAACGTTTTAGTATGATATAGAAACATGAACAATTATTTCCTTTCAAAAATCTTGATCATATATATTGAAAACCTAAATTCGGAACGGACAAACGGGCGGATGAACGGACGCACGAACAGAAAAACATAATGTTGGCGGGGCATGCACATTCATTGTATTGAATAACTATATATCTGATGCATAACAGTACTTTCTTATCAAATAGATATATTGTGAGAGCTTGATCAAATTCTGTTGAATGTTTTAGGAAGAGTTGTTGTAATCTTGACGAAAAGAATGTTGGCGACGAGAACACTACGAGGACGTTGACTAAAAACGGCGGATAATACTCTAAATGTATAGACTATACTAAAGCAGTAAACAGAAAAAATATTGAATGCAAATCCTATTAAAATTTACTTCGATTTATTCATTAACTTGTCATTGTCGATCAGTACTTTCTCTCAATATATGTTCTAGCATATATTGAATATAGGGTATTCAAAGATGATGGTCCAGCAAAAATATTGAAAGAACTGTTCAAATAGGATATGTCGTTTCAGAAAAGTTTTTTTGCAAAATCAAAGAGAAGACATGGATCAAACTAGATCAAAGTGACCTTTATGCTTACTATAGTACCCCCTTCTCCATGCATATGTTCCAACCTGATTATGATTGCCTGTCGATAATGTGAATGAATTTTTAATGAAAATTTAAACCAGCATTAGCCTTATATGTTAGCTTCGCTGAAAAAAGTGTGTCTGATGACCAGATTATCGAACCATCACGACATTGCTAGAAATACATGTATATTACACAAACAAAGTTTATCAACACATATGCGGCATTGAAAAATATGTGGAAAATGTCTTCATTTACTTTTCAAAACTATTTCAAAAGATTGTTTATGAAAACCTCTTTCAAAGGAAATCATTTTTGCATTTGTAAACTATGATCGATTTTGCTGAGGACAATTTTTGTTGAGACGGTTCAAAATTGGAGTTCACAAATTTATCCATTTTTTAGAAACGGTATTGCTTAAATGTGGGTGAAGATAACAACATTTAGTCTTTATTGGTTGAAGTTGACATTTTTTGAAAAACTTTTGAAGGTAAATTGAATTTTGGTTGGAGAAAAAAAAATGAAAAGAATCGGGAGGGGCATTTTTGAGCCCCTCCCTTTCGTCTGACATTTTTTTTCTTTTCTAGCTTATTCGATTCAGACACCATTAAAAACATTAGGGTTGAAATTTGGACAGATTTGGTCAATTTTTAAGAAACTTTAACCTCCACTTTTTTAAATGGAGGTGTTGCAAACAATTTTTTGAGTAGTATAGATCTTAAAAAGAGGGTATACAATTACAGCGAGCTTTCCAAATTCCGGTAATTGAATAAACGAATCTTGTAAGGATGGAGCTGTTCGGAGGCTTATAAGTGGAAGTCATTAGGCATGGCGACTTAAGGAAAATAATCAATATATTTTTAAACGTCGGCAGACCGGCAATAATAAAACAGAAAATGTGTCCACAGTTAACTGATATCCAACTCGCACTATCATTTTCACTGTACAATGAACCATGGAATCGGGATCAAAACTCTAATTTGACATTAAATTTCTCCTTAGTTTTGTGATCACCGATTCTGAGACCTGTAAATTCAAGTCTTTGGGTAAAAACTCATTTTCGAAAACCCAAGTGGTTGCTAAGCATACTGTCATATTGTTATAACTTACACTAGACTGTTGGTGTGATAAGCATTATGTCACGTCGGGACCTTTTATAACTTACTATATGGTAGGAGTGGGCAGGGGTTGGGTCATTGTTGAAGGTCGTACGTCGATATATTTGCTGATACGACGTTTGTTTTTTTTTGTCTCGGTGGATAGTTTTTACATATCTCATTGGTAATTACATATATCTCCTTTCTTAGTTTGATATTAATGCTATATTGAGTTTCTTATGATACCTTTTCACTTTGAAATTGAAATTTTAATTTACATTGAACGCAATAGAAATGGTATGTTCTCGAGTGGTTAAAGCACATTATCCATCAACTTATGTTTGGCAGTATGCATGACTTAGGCCTAACGAGAGGTTCTTCTCCATTATTGGAGACGCTGACAGTATTGGATCCACATTTTCTACTAGTGGCATTGGCTCTATAAGTTGGTCAATTTGTTCATGGGACAAATTTATTTCGCCATCAACTTGGATTTGTTTTTGTGAGAGAGTTACTCTAACAACCTGATCATTATCTATAACAGATGAACAAAGCTGAGAAGTTTCTGATCTGCTTACCCTTCCGTAGCACCTGAGATCATCCCCAGTTTTTGTTGGGGTTCGTGTTTCTCAGTCTTTAGTTTTCTATGTTGTGTTTTGTGTACTGTTTTTTGTCTGTTTGTCTGTTTCTTTTTTAGCCATGGCTTTGTCAGTTTATTTTTTTACTTTTGAGATTGAACGTTCCTTTGGTATCTTTCGCCCCTCTTTTATATCCGTAGATCCGGGGTTTTTTTTGTTTTGTTTAATATTTGTGTATTGTTTATATCATGATCTGAAGAGTTGGCGCTTTTTAATTGACGTTGTACAGTGTACACAACTGACTTAGGTAAGAGGATCGGATTTGTTCCAGCAAACACATATGTACTCCGTTACATTCTGTACGTCCCTGTCCAAAGTCAGAATCTTTTCTTTCAGTGGTTGTCGTTTGTCACTGTGTATATCACAAACCCTACCCTTTTCGGTGAGAACCAGGAGCTTCAAAATTGTAATGACATAACGGAATGGAAAATAAAATATGGTGAAAAAGTCCAAGCTTTGCCATGATATCATCATCTTTGATGTTTCTGTACACATTTTATAGTTTTTATTTCAAAAATGCTTAACATGCAGACAGTCTAACTAGACATGTGGTATAAATACAGCACCTCTCTCGAAGGGATTTACACTACATTTTGTTCATAAAAAATTCCTGTCTCCTTGGAAGAAATTTCTTCCAACAAGTTAGAAAATGTATTTCATTTCCAATAAAGTATACAAATATAGTTAATAAACTCAACCTATTCACTTCATTTTCTATCCTCTCTCAAGTTGGAAGAAATTTCTTCCAAATAATATTAAATCATTCAAAATTTCTTCCAACAAATATAGAAACATGTAATATATTTACAAATTATTTTCCATTTGTTCAACACAGATAGTTCACTTATTTAATATTCCTTCTTGGAAGAAATTTCTTCCAGTTACGTTTACAACAGTAAGAAATTTCTTTAAAGATTTTGAAAGAGGTAGTTTTTCTTTCCACTGCAGAAATTTCAATTGAATTTAGCAAAAGTAAAATTGCCAATACATTATTATAATCTGTTATACAACTTAATTAATTCATATATTTTTTCATATAATGGAAAAAAATAATATACTTACATTTGGTATTTATATTATAACACAAATAAGTCACTTCATTTCAACGACTCAATCTTGGAAGAAATTTCTTCCAAGAACTTTTACAGCAGAAAGAAAAAGTTCATTTCATTCTGTATAAAGGCTCTACCACTGCTTGGAAGGAATTTCTTCCAAGTGCATTTACACCCGTAAGAAAAACAATCATTTTATTTTGTTCTACTAAATTTTTGTCAGTGATACTGATTGGAAGAAATTTCTTCTAAGTGCATTTACAGCCATGTGGAAAAAATAACTTTATTTTGTAAAAACAAATGTCATTTCGTTTCCTATAAAGGCTCCATCATTTCTTGGAATAAATTTTTATTTAGTTGAAGTTTTTTCCCACAGATAATTGTATTCCTCTACATTTATAAAAAAAAGGAAGTCATTTTAAATTGTTGATACATATCCCTTTTAAAGAAATTTAGAAAAAATGCAGTACATTTCAAACAAGTATTACATGATACTAGGTTTCTGAGAACTCATGTTAGACTTGAACGCTGAAGTAAATTCACTTAATTATTAATGGCTAGCACATACATCTTACATAAAACAATAATGCAAAACACCAAATAATTGTAACTGACCTAATATTTCAGAAGGGAGAGGCAATAAAGAGGGGTAAATATAAAGTATTAGTTATTTGCACTTTTTTAATGTGCGGTAAGCTGAAAAGCCCGATGTAGACGGGGTGAACATGCGTCCCCGATTCCTATCCCCCTACTCCCAGACTAAAATTTGGTCAAAGAAATTTTTCAAGCATATCTATTTTTAACTTCCTCTCTACTCCATGTTCCCAAATATTTCCTACAAGATTTTTTGCTAATTCCGACACCAACAGTGCATGACTTTTTGTAAAAGGACAGGACATAGATTTGTGACGTCTAGGACACAGTACAATATGGAAAACAGATTTGAGGCTGGCCATAGATTTGAGGCTTACATATTTGTTGGACTTTTTTTTAACATAGAGGGTTGAAAACAAAATAGGTACTAATTGTTACCTTATGCACTACAACCACTAACCAGAATGCTTAACATCACAATACTATTAGCTGGTTTTGCACATTGTACAACACAGCCATTCATTTCTCCGATAATAACAGTCGTAATGGGACTATGTAAAGTCACTTCAAGATGAAATATGATCAATTAATTGAACACAAATACTAAGTCTACAACAGATAAATGCATTGCAATACAATATCCACAAAAAAAATAAGGTCAAAAATCAAAAGTTGTTCTAAGAAATTTCTTAGTTTGTCTCTTCCTACAGTTCTCTAGTAATAGTACACATAAGAATGTACTATGTTTCTGTTTCTTTGTTGAGTTTTCTTTTTATCTGAAAAAAAAGTAAAGCACCACATAATTATTTTCTCTGTCTAAAACATAAAGATGTATCAAAAGCATGAACTTAACTAAAATAATACACCAATATTCATAAAAACAAACTAAAAATTTTAAATATATAATATGTCCTCTTTTCTAGCTAAGGGATGTGATCAAGTCCCCTCCTCTCCACCCTTGGCAGTTTAAGATAGAATTTTGGATCAGTGAGGGAATGCTTTTATTGGTCCCAGTTGTAACTTACAGCATTCAATTAAAAAGGGCCTTTAAGGTGATCATGTGTAAATGTAGAAAAAGTTAATAAACAATTGCCATGTGGTGATTGTGCATCAAGTCTGAACCCCAAAACATTACAGGACAACATTGAGTGACCATTTAAAAGTTCTTAATCAACTAATTGAAATGTTTGAATATCAACGTATCTTTCTAGTTCGTGCTTCCAGGAATTTGTAAACAATGCATGTATGTATAATAGACAAAATCATTTTTACACCTCCACACTGTAGAGAATGCAAGTGCTGCCGTTGGTCAAGAATGTTACAAAAGAACAATTATTCCTATAATGCAATTCCAATAAGGTACCAGTGGTGTTCCATATTTTATTCACCGAAGACTACACAAACTAGGAAAAAATGGGTAGCAGTTCCTGTTACTAGAAATGTCAAAAACATATACAGGGTCATGCAGCAAACATGGATAGTGTCTTTTTGTTGTTGGGATATACAAGTACCCGGCCACGTCCACTCTGTGTTTTTGTTATATGTATTTCTATTTATCCACCTGATGAGTTGAGCCTTTTTCAACTGAATTTTATAGTTCGTTCCTATGTTGTACTGTTACGCCACTTTCCCAGGTTAGGGGGAGGGTTTGGATCCCGCTAACATGTTTAACCTCGCCACATTCTGTATGTATGTACCTGTCCCAAGTCAGGAGCCTGTAATTCAGTGGTTGTCGTTTGTTGATGCGTTACATATTTTTTTCGTTAATTTTTTTGTACATGAATTTATTAGGCCGTTGGTTTTCTCGTTTGAATTGTTTTACATTTGTCATTTCGGGGCCTTTTATAGCTGACTATGGTGTATTGGGTTTGCTCATTGTTGAAGGCCGTACGGTGACCTATAGTTGTTAATTTCTGTGTCATTTGGTCTCTTGTGGAGAGTTGTCTCATTGGCAACCATACCACATCTTCTTTTTTTTTATATTAAAATGCAGTTGAAAACATCGTCTTCTTTTTCGCTTAATGAAAAAAGCAAATTTTAAAGACCTTGAGGTGCAGATTTTGAACATATTTTCTATAATTTGAAAATGTGAATTTGATTTTCTGGATTTTTTACACCAAATTGGATAAGCTTTCAATTAGGAGTAATTGCGATCCTATATCGTCCAATCAGAACCCATACAAGATCCTATTCTCAATTTCTGAGTACCATCTTAAAAATTGCTGGTAAAATTTAAACAAATAATTGCGATCTTGTTACCAGAAAGATGTAGTTGAAATGGGCATGACATCGTAACCATTGGCAAGCGAAGATGATAAACTGTAAGAAACAATTAGACAAAAAGTTCAAAACTGTGCATGAATCGAATCATTAATAACACAGTCATGTAAAATGTTAAATCTGAATAAAAACAAGTATAACTTTGTTAATAACAACAACTGTGGATTTCGTGGGATATCAATTTACATGAATTTTGTTTGTAGAAATGTATTGGGTAATACAGCATTTAAGGTGTTCAATGAAGTGTGAATTTCCGTTACGGACCAGTTTCCAGTAGTTGAAATGGGCATGACATCGTAACCATTGGCAAGCGAAGATGATAAACTGTAAGAAACAATTAGACAAAAAGTTCAAAACTGTGCATGAATCGAATCATTAATAACACAGTCATGTAAAATGTTAAATCTGAATAAAAACAAGTATAACTTTGTTAATAACAACAACTGTGGATTTCGTGGGATATCAATTTACATGAATTTAGTTTGTAGAAATGTATTGGGTAATACAGCATTTAAGGTGTTCAATGAAGTGTGAATTTCCGTTACGGACCAGTTTCCAGTAGTTGAAATGGGCATGACATCGTAACCATTGGCAAGCGAAGATGATAAACTGTAAGAAACAATTAGACAAAAAATTCAAAACTGTGCATGAATCGAATCATTAATAACACAGTCATGTAAAATGTTAAATCTGAATAAAAACAAGTATAACTTTGTTAATAACAACAACTGTGGATTTCGTGGGATATCAATTTACATGAATTTAGTTTGTAGAAATGTATTGGGTAATACAGCATTTAAGGTGTTCAATGAAGTGTGAATTTCCGTTACGGACCAGTTTCTTTGAAGTATCATTCCAAAGTTTTTCAATGTTGAGTAAATATTGCTAAAACAGACAGTATAGAGGACATCTATTGAGGAATCAAACTCAACCAGATGGCTGCGGTTCAGTCTCTCGGAACACTTAGTAAAAGTTGGTCGTAAGATACAACAAGATGCTCCAAGGAGCCTGTTTTGCTCACCTGATATTTTTATTTACAATTGATGCATGAAATAATGCAACCGTTATTACTTTTGCTTAAGTTTCAGAGATACAAGACAAGACCTGCATTTTCCCCCTAAGGTATATTCTTAGCCATGCCTGCCATGTTGGTTGGCAGGCAGGGTCATCGGACACATTTTTTAAACTAAATATCCTAATGCTGATTGTGGCCAAGTTTGGTTAAATTTGTCTCAGTTGTTTCAAGAGAAGACTTTTGTAAAAGATTACAAAAAAATTACGAAAAATTTGACTTTAAAGGGCAATAACTCCTTTTGGGATCAATTGATCATTTGACTTATTTGTAGATCTTAATTTGCTGAACATTATTACTTTTTACAGTTTATCTCTATCTATAATAATATTCAAGATAATAACCAAAAACTGCAAAATTTCTTTAAAATTACCAATTCAGGGGCTGCAACCCAACAACAGGTTGTCCGATTTGTCTGACAATTTCAGGGCAGATAGATCGATGAACATTTTTACCAATTGTCAAATTTGTTCTAAATGTTCTAGTTTCAGAGATAAAGGCCAAAAAGTACATTTTACCCCATGTTCTATTTTTAACCATGTCGGCCATGTTGGTTATCAGGCGGGGTCATCGGACACATTTTTAAACTAGATACCCTAATATTGATTGTGACTAAGTTTGGTTAAATTTGTTTCAGTAGTTTGAAAGAAGAAGATTTTTGTAAGATTACAAAAATTTGTTAAAAATTTACTTTAATGGACAATAACTCCTTAAGGAGCCAATTGACCATTTTGGTCATGATAACTTATTTGTAGATCTTACTTTGCTGAACATTATTGCTGTTTACAGTTTATCTCTATCTATAATAATATTCAAGATAATAACCAAAAACTGCAAAATTCTTTAAAATTACCAATTCAGGGGCAGCAACTCAACAACGGGTTGTCCGATTTGTCTGACAATTTCAGGGCAGATAGATCTAGACCTGATGAAAACCAATTGTTTCATGTGAGATTTGCTTTAAATGCTTTGGATTCAGAGATATAAGCCAAAATCTACATTTTACCCCTATGTTCTATTTTTAGCCATGACGGCCATCTTGGTGGGTTGTCCGGGTCATCACACATTTTTTTTAACTAAATAAACCAATAATGATTGTGGCCAAGTTTGGTTAAATTTGGCCCAGTAGTTTCATCAGAGAAGATTTTTGTAAAAGTTAACGGACGACGGACGACAGACGCCGGACAACGGACGCCTAGTGACGAGAAAAGTTGACTTGGCCCATTGGGCCAGGTGAGCTAAAAATAAGATCATTATATAAAATAAAAGAAAGAATATTCCTACCAGAATCTTTTGAATTAACATTTGTCTTTTTTTGAGCTGCTCTGGTTTTTCCATTTCTTTTTGATTTAGAAAATTTTTTCCTATGCTGAAGTGCTGGTTTCTTTCCACCATCTTTGTTAACTTTAACAGTACTGTTTTGCTTGGTTTTATTCTGTGAGGAGTTTTTTGTGTATTTTCTCTTTCCAGATGAGCAGGATGGGCCATTTTTGGAGGCTGGTTTCCGTTTTCCTTGTGAATTTGCATTTGTCTTTGTGTCTTTTTCTTTTCTTCTGGCATTTCCTCCTAACACAAAAAAGAAGAAACATTTTTGTTTTATGTATTAGAGCGACAAAATATTCTATTTAATTTATTTTCAAACACCATCTAGTATGGAGTATACTTATTTGATTGATCATTTATATTTTATGTAATATATCTCTTTAAAATTACTGTTATATATAATTATAATTATATATGTATATGCTCGGAAGCGGGCCCTTGATTTGGATTCAATAAATATTCTATTTATTATGATATACAATAAAGCATCACACAATCATTGCCTTTTTCAAAATCCTGACCCCCAAATGCATATGTTCACACAGGTGAATGAAACAAAGGTCTGGATGGGGTTTACAGATGAAGAATGGGCCAAATCTGGGACATAATATATAGTATTAGTATAATAGTCCCAGGCCAAATAATACAGAATATAGAAAAAGGAGAAAAAAAACTGAACTGAACAACTGAGAAAAATTACCGATCCAGATCCTCATTTAAATTCACTGCATTTTGTGTCTCAGATAGATAAAGTCCGTTTTGGATTTTGAACCTTAAATAGAACCCTTTAGGACTATTCGAACATACCTTTCTATGTTAACCCCATCACCCATATTCTGACCCATCTG